GCACATCCCCCCAAATGGCAGAAACCTCAACCAAGAAAGCCATCGGATCAAGAGCATTCCTTTCCTCCAGTAGAGAGACATCTGATAGTATGATACCATTTTCGAAGTAGGGCATATTAGCCCATTTTTGACTCTCATACCAGTCTTCCCTTAATGGTAATCGCAGGAAGATATCTTGTGGCTTGAGCACCGTCGGGGAGTGGGCTTCAAGGGAGGTATGTCTCTGCAAAAGTGTCAGAAAATGGGCTTCGGTTTGCGATAGCGGAAAAATGAAAACTTTTGGATAGAGAAACTAACATCCATAAGGAAAGCAGCCCAAAAGGTCCTCCTCTGGCACTCTAGGATGGTTTCAGCCTGGAAAAATTCGTCCCACTCACTCCCCGATGTTGAAGCCCCATGTTCAACGTTAAGTTTCAGCCCACATATAGTCCGCATTGCAGAGCCCGTAAAATCAGACGCTGTCGCGGATGCGCCGATTGTGAAATGCCACATGCCAAGGATGATTCGAGTTTGAGCTAGATGTAAAGTCGGGCTATTTTGACTCTTCTCCACAGCATGTTTTGCTATTCTCGCAAACCTCATTGCATCTGCTCTGTGCTCCTTGCCATTGCCGAAAATAGCACCCATAGCAAGCATAGCATACAACAACATTTTGTCATCAAGAGATTTATTCACACAAAACCTGAGCCATCTAATAAATGGTTCTCGAGGGAATATACAGTAGGTTGCACCGTTAACATATTTGAAATACCTATCGACATAGTGCATGGTTGATTCCGGGTGGTTTTGGTAAGGATCTGTTTCCCATTCCGATAGCGTCGGATCGTGGAGGTCCATAGCAGCCATGTCTGACAAAATATCAACCACGGGGTATGAATCAGGAGCCGTTGTCATATCTTTGTATGGTTTAGGATTGTCCCCAGCACGGTCAATGGCATTCGTGGAGGATCGCCGTCTCCTTTTTAGGGTTCTGTTAAAGTCTAGACATGGGCCTACCGTCTTGGGCACCGTTGGACCTGAGTCGTTCGAATGGCTAGAAGTTGAAATTAAATCACGCGGGCTCCCGATGGACAAACTTGATGTTGAGTATCCACTCGCCGGGTAACCCGTCCGTTGGCTTTGGGATATCGTTGATACTGTTGATGAGCCGTGGTGACCCACTGTCTGCTCAGAAACTATGGGCAATTGCTGCAAAGCCTTCGCAGCTTGGTTTCCACGAGGCCTACAGAGGGGAATAGAACTTTGTTAAATCAAACCTATTTTCCTAGACAAAGAGCGACTTCTAGACTCACGCATTTTCAAATTTGCACTCTCTTCCTGATTTCTGGCACTGATCACACTTGGGAACGTTCGGGATGCATTTTATTTTCTTATCTCTGCACGTTATACATGCTTGCGCCAACCGCTTCCTTGGCTTGCCAGCTTTCGTGATCCCCCAGTTGGCATTGACGAGCTCCCCATCAATCAGCTTAGGGCAATGGGTGCCATCGGAGTATATGTAACATAGACCCTCACTCCCAATATAGCGCTCGTCTACCACATGAGCCAGTCGAGGCTGACTTTGGCTAGTCGGTGAGGGTGAGCGCAAAGCAGTCTCAATAGCCAGTGAGGACGGATTGGATACTGGAGATGCTTCAGAATTAGGCAGGTCTCGTTCAAACGAAAGCTGGCTACGGTGGTATCGCGTTAAAGGTGCGTCATTGCTGTTTCTCGTGTAATCGGGAAAATGGTGGGACGGCAAGCTCGTGAGACTTAACCCAACATGGGAGAGCGGAGGTAGATGCTCTCGAGAATATGCTGGGTACTGACCGCCTCCGTATGATGGTTCAACAGAGTCTGGTACCGGTGGTCTCATTGGGCTTGAGACGCGGCCATGGCTTGGATGCCTAGTTGTCAGGGTGCGTGCATCGTAGGCCTCACCGGTTGGAGAAGATCCATGTGTCCCGCTGCTGTACAGCGGAGAGTTTCTGCGTCCTGGGATATAGTAGTGGGAGTTTGGTACGTCAGAATAAGATATTGGTGTAAGTAATTGTCTGACCGGTGGTAACTGCTCTTGCGGTTGATATCGATTGCTGTTATTCTGAGGAGCCTGTACAATGGCTGCAGAACCTGAGGAATCTATCAACTCCGGCGGCGCCAAAGACTCATCTGATCCCAACCCCCAAGAACCAAGCTTT